ACACAAAGGGCCCTCGCACGGATGGGCGGCCACTTGTCGGCGTCTCGCCCTCCTCCAGACGTCCCAATCCACGCCGACGGCTACCTTGTCGTCGCCGCCGTCATCGCTCACTACTACTCCGCCCTCTCCCGATCCCGGGCCTCCCGCTTCATCGCTTTCGCCTCTTCATCTCGCTCCCTTGCTTTCTTGTCCCGCTCGATCATGAAGTCGATTCGCCACCGCCACGGCCTTGTCCTTCTAACAAGAACCGGACTATCTTTGAAGACTAGCCTCCTCGGCCGGTTCCAACGTCACAAAAGCAAGTATTAAAAATGGAGATTCGTGAAAAGAAAAGAGCACGGGAGAAGAGGACTTACGAATTTGAGGAACCCGGTTCGCCGCATTGGGGGTGTCCGCATCGGATACACAATGTCGAGGACGCCGCTTTGAGTCCTTCGTCGGCTCCGTCGCCTCCTTAATGCGCAAGCGCCGCTTCCAAAAAAGGGGTGCCTCGTCAACAAGCACCGCCCCTCGAACAACATTCCGGGCATCATCCGACATGGGGGAAGCACGCAGCGCGCCATCAAGCGCCACCCTCTCTCATGATAGGCGCCGATAATCCCCGTCCCCTTCACGCCCCGATCCTTCAGGGCTTGAAGGGTGGAAAAAAGGTCGGAGAGGTGTTTCTTGTCTTTGGACTAGACGCCCCAGCTCCACGACTCCGGAGCCTCTTCAATAAGGCATCCGGTGTACCTCGAGAGGGTGGCGCTCACAACATCCCTAACATAAAACCACTGCGAGTGCCATCCCTTGTTGGATGTCGCCAGACGCATGTATGGGTAACCCCTCGACCGGGTATGGCGCAGATGAATGCTGGCACATCCCATTGGCGTGTTCACATCTTTCCCTCCAATCTTCCTCTTCGACAAACTAATGGTAAAGAAATACCGCCACAGATCAAAATGGGGATCGATCCCCAGGAAACCCTCGCACAGGGCAACAAACGCCGCCATATGTTGAACCCCGTTGGGAGTTAGATGCTGTAGCTCCACCTCATAATAATCCAGCAGCCCCCGAAGGAATCTATGCATGGGTACCGCAAATCCCCGCTCATGGAAGATGGCGAAAGAAACAACATACCCTTCGGGCGGCACCGGCTCACCCTCGTCGCCAGGTAGCAGCCACTCCTGAACGATGGACAGCGGGCGGAGAAGGCCACGGCGGACGAGGCCCTCCAAACGCCGTGGGGTGATGCTAGATCTGCCCCACAACTCCATCAAAGCAATTGGGGAGAAAAGGGGGCGCGAGCCCGATGGCGGCTACGGGGCAGGCGCAAGCTTGACGGCGGCTGTAGCACGGATACAAGCCGGCGGACGGTGGCGGTGTGGGCGCAGGAGGCTAGGGCGATTGGCGGCGGATGTTTCAAGACGCAAAGGCAAGGGAGCGAAATACGGAACCTTGGGGGCGAACCCCGTGGTTTTATAGGGACGACGGACGCAAGAAGGGCAACCGTCCGCCTCGATCTCTGGGCCTGCCACGCGCACCGCCGCGTCATATCGCGGGACACGCGCCCGCAGTTCCTATCCCTTCCCATCGAGAATCACGGTGGACGGTTCGCCTTCCAGGCGAATCCGGACTCCCTTCCCGCCTGGGGAAGGCAGGTCACAAAGATTTTTTCTATTTTGGCCCGCCTAGGGCCCAGAAGCTCGACGGCCGGCCCAACTAAGGGCGGGTCCACGAAACGATCCAAAATCAAGGACGCAGGCATTACTGGGATCTCGATCCATGGTCAAGCCCCAGTTAGGTCAGCCCTGAATGGGATCCCCGCGAACGGGATACCACGACCCCTTCGAAAAAATATCCAGTTGACGAAAAAACCAAGTCATTCGGCCTTACCCGCGAAGGGTCCGATACACCCCCCATGGCAGTTCTATCCGAATGACCTGGAGGCTCGAGGGCTACACCCAACGGGTGCGCTCACGCGCACCCTCTGGCGAAATGACTCTGACAAAATCGAAAAACACCCTCCAGGCGGTTCTATCCGAATCACCTAGAGGCTCGGGGGCTACTGTCGGGGACCTAATACCAGGATACCCCAGAAGGCGGAACCAATAACCATCGAACGTTAAAAACTTCTGGACGGACAAGGGCGCCTCTGCGTTCCTTGCCCGAATGACGAAAGTTAGGTTTCGTCTCGCCCAACGCCTCTGGACCAACCCCGCCTCGCCTGAGGGCAAAGGGCCCCGAGGGCAAAGGGATGGCCTCCATCTCGCCCGAGGGCAAAGGGATGGCCTCCGTCTCGCCCGACGCCTTTGGGCCAGCCCCGCCTCGCCCGAGGGCAAGGGGCTGGCCTCCGTCTCGCCCGAGGGCTAAGGAATACACTCTGCCTCGCCCGACGACCAAGGACGAACCTCGCCCCGATCGATATCCAAAGGCTGGTTTTATCTTACCTGATAACTTCTCTCCCGTCCCCTCATGATGACAGGTACAGTGCAAGACAAGACGTTCGGGTCAACCACGGCTTCAAGGACCATACCTGCGCCCCGGTAGGAAAAGTACTCGCCAGGAACGATCGATGGTGTGCTTTAGACCTCCCCGGCGCGCAGAGAGCCCAAAAGGTATTGCAGTAGCGTACTCCTCGCCTCTCAGAGAGTTGTAGGCGCCGCCTTTTCTCTGGGACACGGACCCGATGAAGATACACGACAACCACTACACTCCGAGAAAAGGATTTGTAATCTCCACGAATGACGGACATGCCGTCACCACATTATGGACCCAAGGAGCGGCGCCCGCTTCCCGACCCCTCGGTCCACCAAATCGCAGACCTTGCCCACAGCCACATTCTCGACCTCGACTCAAGGCCCCTACGACAGAGACTCATAGAGCTGTAAGGCATGCGGAGCAAGGTCAAGCGAGGTTCATAAGTCAAAACCATCAGATTCCAAACCCATGCCTCACAAGTAGGCACTATTCAATAACCATCCTGACATTCTACAGAAGTATCGACAGTATTGTAGGCGCTTATCTTCCTTTCGCACCCATCAGAATGGGTAAGGAGGCTAGGTAGAGCACGGATCCTAAGCCACTGACCCTTGTAAAGCCATCCCCTTTATCTATAAAAGGGGATGCGCCTCCTCCAGAAAGGGGACGGACGAAAAAACAAGGCGACACACACATAGTCAAGCTACTACCAAGCTCTCGACTTCCTTTCGACCCTTCCATCAGAGACTTGGGACCTGTCCCTCTCTCGATCGTTTGTATCCCCTACTACGAACCACTCACGGTGCTAATAACACAAGCAGCAACAAACTGGACGTAGGAAAATTCAGCCCGAACCAGTACAAATCTTGTATCCTTTAGCACACCATCCGAGCCTAACACGCATTACTATAAATTTACTTGCCGGTGCTTGTACGAAACACCGACACCTTGTGATACTCGACATGAGTGTTAACCAACTGACATATAATTGTAGACTAGAACTGGAGCCACCCTGCAACAACACAAACGGATTTCTTAAGTTACTCAGTCTAATGCTAAAAATTTCATGTCAGCCGACCGTCTATAATGAACACTGTTTTGGAAGCCTCGACAGCCTTAGACTTGCAACTCAACAGAAATAAGATAGACCATTGCCTGTTCGCTTGTCTGATAAGTCATGGCTAAAAGTATTGTGTACTGATTTGTTGTGAGAGAAAAATACTGTTCGTTAGCTGAAAAAGTACGGCTTATAAGCCAAGCGAATAGGGCGCATATCTGCCATTTTTTTATGAGAGGTGTGGTTGATCGACACCAACAGTTGCCATATCTTGTACTCCCTTCGTTCTAAATTATAGGTCGTTTTGATTTTTTTTATTCATCCATTTTGCTATGTATCTAGACATATTATTATTTCTAGATGCATAGTAAAATAGATGTATCAAAAAGTCAAAGCGACTTATAATTTGAAACGGATAGAGTATTTTTTTTCCAGGTCTAAAACTCGTTTTCACTCAATTGCAAGTATAGCCTGTTTCTTTGTGTGTGTGTGGGGGGGTGGGGATGTAGTTTTATCAAATGGAAACAAATATCAAGTAGTAAGGATTATCTTAAGATCATTTCAAAGATCCTTATGCCAGCTCTTGAATCTGCTACAGTTCCATCTCAACCAGACTTTCAGCGTCTAGATGTCTGTATCTCACTTCAGGGTGTTCCTGGTCCATCAGATAAACCCAAGTACACATACTACCAGAAGTTCATCCTGGTACTTTCAACCACATCCACAAGATGCTTAGTTCGGACAGCAACCAGAAAAAAATAGAACGAGTTGAAAACATCATTCCACATTTTGCGGTCATTGTAAAGGCATAGGGACCAAAGAGCAAGATCTATCAAGCTAAATGAACACTAACAGGAAAACTGAAACAGGACTTGATAAAGAAACAGCAAAAGAAAAATCAACAAAAAACTGAAGGCATCTGATCTTCACGTTGGGTATGAACACATTTTGAACTCCTTTCAGAGTTTCGGGAAAGGTTTGCCTATCTAATTCAACAGTGTATTTTTTAACCAAAAAAAATCAAACAATACTAAGGGCGAATACTTGAAAAAACAAAGGTGAGCATCCGAGCATACTGCCTTGCAAAATCATTGTTCACGAGGAAAGTTAGAATATTCAGGTCCAAATGTAATGATTTGTCCCTGCAACCCAGATAACTAGAAGGTTTGTGATCATGGGGTTGAGTTTCCTGCAGGAGATATATTACTATGATTTTCTGGTAATTTGCACAAAGGCAGTTCACCCTACTATTTTACCTGACATTGAAATTCTCTAATGACGAAATAAAGTGAGGCAATAGAGGGTCATAAACGCGATATACATTTGTTTCTGCTGCGCTAAACTTCAAGTTATCTTTAAGATACAAACGCCACCAAGATGGTGGTCCAACAAAAAAATAAAAATAAAGGCTATGGTGCTTGACACGGAGCTTATCAAAACATGCACACAATACAAGGTGTAGTAGAAGGTATAGAACACAATGCTAGTACCGTTTTGATATGCGTGGCATGGAGCACTTCTGTTTCCTGTCATGGTAAATCCTCACAATGACAGCAGCTGTTTCCTCTATAGCTTTTCCAGTGACCCCTGCATGAAAACAGTATGAAAGCATGTTTTTAAACAAATAAACAACAAACAAAAGGTTTCATGAATACAACTAACTTGACTTACCAATGACTGGCCACATTGGGTTTTGAGCAAAAATTTGATTTGCATGGACCAGTTCCTGCCTCACATGTTCCATTTCGGCATAATTGCTCTGATACCCATCACCAAAACCTAGAGCTTTGGCCCTAGTCTTTCTAATTGCTTGATGAACCACTGGATTTATTGTCAATCCAAAAATCTTGTCTTGGCTGATCTCAAAAAGGGTCTTTGGAAGATTCACTCCCATCACAATTGGGACATTTGCTACCTTGTATCCCTTTTGAGCTAGATATATTGACAACGGTGTCTTCCCTGTACGTGAAACGCCAGCAAGTACAATGTCTGCACGGTTGAGGTTCTGTGGCTGAGCCCCGTCATCTTGTTTGATGGTAAAATCGATAGCATCAATCCGTCGAAAGTAGTCCTCTGTTAGCTGACCCTGTCGACTAGGAGAGCTTCGTGGAATTCCAGATGGAGCAACACCAATATGAGAAGCAATGGCTTCAACAGTAGGCTGAAGAACATCAGTGAATGGAACACCCCAGAAATCGCAGGCCTTCTTAGCTGACTCAGCCATTGAAGGATCAGCAAGGGTATATAGAACTAGTGCCCCTTCCTTTGCTGCTTGCTTTATTACCTCAAGAAGTCGATCCATGCTGTTGACCTACAGAACATTACAAAAGATGCAGCCTATTACCAAAAAGTGATGTGCAGCTAACATTTTTTAAGCCAACGCAGGTAGAAAAGTGGATAACTAGCATCTAGTCGGGATTTTCCTGAGAGAAGAATATGATCAACACAAACAGAAAAGAAAAGAAAAACTAGCCATGGCAATAAATAACATATACGTTGATAACTAGTATCCCAACTGCCTGATACATAGTTGCCTCTGCACAAACAATTATTAATGTGCGTACAAGACCGAGACAAAATTTTAACCAACAGAATAAATAGATATGCATGAAGCAACTTTGCAGTTATGAATTTGCACAAAACTTCTGCATGTACCGTCTACCCCAGTACATGATCCATATGCATGCCCTTGGAGATTGTGAATTTATCTTCACTCAAAGAAAGCGTCCAAAACATAAAATCTCTGTATTACAAATAAATTATCATTCAAATTGAGAAGTTGTAGCATAGCACAGTAATTGATAGTAGTTGTACTATAATCAACCTGAAAATAGATCATGCTTGTGCACATATCACTACAGAGGAGGGTGCCATTGTATTCCCAGGGTGTTAAATTCCATCCGTAAAACTAGCGGTCATTGATTTGTCCTCCAAGATCTGGCTCTTCCTCAGTTTCATTTCTCCAAATTAGCATTTCACATTCAAATTATTCAGTTACACTTGTGGAATCATCAAAACTTACAGCTACAGTCCAAAAATCGCAGGGCCCCTAATTGGCTAATTCGATAGTTAGATGACAAAACAGGACATCTCCCATGATTGATAACTACTCACTCTGTCAGCAGTTAGCACACCATGAACGTACTTCCAACCAAAAAAAAAAAATGAAGGCATGGTGAGATATCCCTTACCATGGAGATGAGGTGGGTGTTAACAGCGCAGCCGCGGTCAACGAAGCAGTGCTCGAACTGTCCGAGCGCGGCGTTCACCGCGTGCTCCGCGGTCCACCCGGTCCCGTCCGACACGATGTAGATAGCCTTCCCGGCCGCGGCGTCCCTCTCGGCCACGCACACGTCGTCGTCCTCGCCATCCTCCACCGCCACTGCAGCGTCCTCGGGCCGCGGCGACTTGTTCACCGGCAGCACCGAGGCCGAGGCCGAGGAGAGCTTCGCGCGGTCCGACCCCGGCCGGCGGCCCGACCGCAGCGCCCGCGACCGGGACCACCGGCTGAGCTGCGGGCTCGCGCGCAGCACGTGGGACAAGGCAGCGGCGTCAACCGGGCGCGGTGGCGGGGCGCCGTCAGACTGAGACTGCGACTGAGACTGGCCTGGGCTCTCGACGGCGCGGGTGAGAGCTGGGGGAGAGTCAGGGGCGCAGGACGAGGGGGCGAGGCAGCGACCGGTGGGGGACGGCGGCTGCAGCGGCGCCACCAGTGGCTTGGCGCTCCCAATCATTGAGCTAAGCGTGACGGCGGCGGCGAGTCCAGCGGTCACTGTTCGCCCGCGTGGGTGGACGACGGATGGCAGTGGTTACAGAGGAAACGTTTTCGCGTTGCTTTCAAGACAGCGCTGCCACGGCAGCAAAATACTGTACCGTGGTTGCCGAGCAGCACTACAATCCAACGGTGGCGTTTGGAGGCGTTTTTGATAGGATTAATTGAATGGGTGCCATTACTATTTTGCTTACTGTAATAGTGGCATTATAATTACACTGGAGTCTGAAAAATGCCATTATGTATACTTGCCGCGACATTTGGCTCACATGCAGGTGTATATAGGGGTTACGTATATCGGTATGGACCGTGTTGCCCCCAGATTCTCCATACATGTGCGCCGGTTTGACTGGATCGACTCAATCCATCCATTCCCCACCGCCTCCTCTCTCTCTCTCGCTCGAACCCTAGGCAGTCCGTCTCGGAGGCGACTGCGACCGGCGGAGGCAGCGACTACTGCTCGCGGCGGCGGCCGCCGTGACTACCGAGGGCGCCGGCGTCGACCGCGACTACTGCTGCTCCTTCCCCGCCCATCTGCTGAGCGGAGGCGACTGCGACCGACGGCGGCGACGACTACTGCTCGTGGCGGCGACGACCGCGACTACCGAGGGCGCCGGCGTCGACCGCGACTACTGCTGCTCCTTCCCCGCCCCATCTACTGAGCGGAGATGGCATCCACAGCTGCCAGTTCAAGTGCTACAGCAATGGACGACAACATACCGAGGTATTTTCGATTTGACATGACTTTCCCTCAACGAATAGGCTAGTTGTTAGGTTACCCTTGTTGTAACTGCAATTTGTTGTAGAACTCGTTGAGTTGATCTGCTTACTTCCTGCTAGGACCGACCTCTTCTCGCTAGAGATTAAAGTTGAAGGTTTCAATACAACAGATACATTGGGTAGGAAAGTTTTACACCAAAGGTTCTATGATTAAGTGGAATGTCGAGATAGGGTCGTTTTCTTTAGACTTGTTGATGGAAAGCTTGCGGAATGAAATTAAATGGGCCTCTAACCAGTCTGCATCTATGTGGTTCTTTGACAAGAATGTGCAAGATGTCAGATTAGTCAGTGACATTCAGATGATAGATTTGTTTGACATGTATAAGTCTGAAATGTGTTGCTGTGTGTTGGTAGGAGTCTTTGATAATGCTGTTGCTGATGGATTTGAGTATGAGTTGATAGAGCCTTTATGTGTTATTCCACCTGATGATGGAGCAGTCAACCCTTCTGATTTCAATCCTGATGCAAATACTTGTGCTTCTGCCATTCCAAATGCAACTAATGCTTCTACTGCTGCCATTCCAAATGCCCAAGCTTCTATTGATGCCATTCCAAATGCAACTAATGCTTCTTCTGCCGCCATTCTAAATGCAACTAATGCTTCTTCTGCTGCCATTTCAAATGCAAATGCTTCTTCTGCTGCCATTCCAAATGCAAATGCTTATTCTGCTGCCATTCCAAATGCCCAAGCTTCTATTGATGCCATTCCAAATGCCCAAGCTTCTACTGATGCCATTCCAAATGCCCAAGCTTCTACTGATGCCAATCCTTGTACTGCCGATGAGTCGAACGTAGAGCCTGATAGGGAGCCAGACATCTTTGACAACGAAGAGGAGTATGTTGGGGTTGATGATGAGCACATCTACATCTCAGTACCACCTACACACCCAGCCAACACTGATAGTGCCCAACCATCTGTTGATAATGCTGATCCTGTTGTTGCTGATGGATGTGCTCCTCTTGAGGCAAAAATTGATGATGCAGATCCCCAGGAAATAAATGTCCTCCACGATCTTGAAAATCCAAAGATTGTCAAGGGACAATTGTTTCCTGACATAGTAACATTCAGGAAAGCTATTCGACATTACGCTGTCAAGAAAGGTTTCAAGTTTGCTAAGTTGCCAACTAACAAGACAAAATTCATTGCACATTGTGCTGTCGAAGGGTGCCCATAGAGAATTCATGCATCTAGAATTTTTTATAATAAAACAATACAGGTTGGTGTGGTCCTTTTATTACTGTTTGTAACTTATTCAGTTATACATATGATACTCATCTTAATTTCTTATGTAGATTAAAACATTGCCTGTTGAACATAATTGTCCCACTACCAAGCTGAGAGAGGGAAAGATGGCTAGTCAAGGTTGGTGTGCAGATAGGTTGGTGGACTGAGTCAAGAAGAACCCAAATAAAGGAGCCAAGGATGCAAATGAAAAGCTAGAAGGAGACTATGGCATTAAACTGAAATACTCCAAGGCATGGTGTGGTTTGAAGGTTGCCCTACAATTGGTTCATGGGAAGTACTCAGAAAGTTTTCAGCTATTGTTCAACTGGAAAGCACAGATAGAAATTAGTTCTCCTGGAAGCATTGTAGAGATAGAGTTAGAAGAGAAGAAGAAGAAGCGCTTCAAGAGGATTTTTGTAGCCCTGAAGCCATGTATTGATGGCTTCTTATCTGGTTGTAGGCCATTTATAGGTGTAGATGCGTCTGCATTGCATGGAAAATATAGAGGGTAGTTGGCATCAGCAACTGCTGTGGATGGGCACAACTGGTTATACCATGTGGCATATGGTGTTTCTTATTCTGAAACAGAAGACAATTGGAAGTGGTTCATGCAGCAGCTACATAGAGCAGTGGGTTCACCTACAGGTTTAGTCATATGTACTGATGCTTGTAAAGGACTTGAGAAGGCTATGGGTGCAGTGTTCCCTGAAGTGGAGTATAGAGAGTGTATGAGGCACATGTACAACAACTTTATGAAGCATTATCAAGGAGATGTGTTTACTGACCACCTATACCCTGCTGCAAGGAGTTACACAGAAGGGCTGTTCAGGTGGCACATGCAGAACATAGCAGATTTTGCCCTAGATGCCATTGACTTCCTTCAGCAACATCACAATTTGATATGGTATAGGTGTGGATTTTTATAGCTAAGTAAATATGACTATTTGACCAATAATGTTTCTGAGAGTTTCAATGCTCAGACAAAGAAGATGAAAGGACTTCTGCTGCATAAACTGGTAGATGGGATTAGGGAACTCATAATGAAAAAGAGGTACTTAAGAAGGTAGATTGGTAAGGATAACTTAAGAAGGTAGATTGGTAAGGATATGCAGGATGGTATACTGCCCAATGTCATCAAAGACCTGAACACTATAAGCAAAAACCTTAAAGTTGTGAAGGTTGCAAGAAGTGATGAAGGCATAGTTGAAGTAACACTTATAGATGACTGGAACAACCACAAGAGGCACATGGTTGACCTGCAAGGTCACTCCTGTTCATGTAGGGAGTGGCAAATCACAAGAAAACCATGCAAACATGCCCTGGCATGGATTCTTTCCAACAGAGGAATTAAAATAGCAGATTTTGTGCATGAGTACTACTCTATTCAGAGATTCAGGGCTACATATGCTTCTAGAGTTGAGCCATTGCCAGACGGGTCATAGTGGCCACAGGTTGACCTAGGCTTCAAAGTTCTCCCTCCTCTGCTAGGTAGAGCTGCAGGTAGGCCGAGAGCGGTGAGAATTAGAGGTTGCCTTGAGAAAAATGCTACCAAGAAGAAGGTTAGGTGTAAAAGGTGTGGATATTTTGGGCACTTCTCTAAGACTTGCAAACAACCAGAGCTAGGAGAAGATGGTGAAGTTGGACTAAATTCAAAGGAAAAAAGGTAAAATGATTTGTATGTCTCTTTCCAATTCTTGTGATATTCCCTAGTTTTTGGTAATCATAGTGTGCATCTGTAGGAAAAGGCAACAGTTGGAAGATGATGACAGTGCTGGACCTTCACAAATGAAGAAGAAGAAGAAGACAGCACCTAAGAAGAAGGGTGCACCCAAGAAGAAGAAAACACCTAAGAAGAAGAAGGCACCCAAGAAAAAGAAGCAGCAAAAGAAAGTTGCTGCTCCAGCAGCTAGTGTTGTGAGAAGCCTGAAGGACTTCTTAAACACCATGTGATTTGTTGTGATCACAAGAATGAAGGTTATGTATTGTAGGCCTTGAACTTGATGTATTGTAGTTCTTGAACTTGATGTATTGTAGGCCTTAAACACCATGTGACAGTTTCTTTTGTCTCCTGAACGTTATGTATTGTAGGCCCTGAACTTGATGTATTGTAGGCCCTGAACTTGATGTATGCTAGGGCCTGAACTCGATGTCTGTTATGGTCAGCACAGAATACTTGATGAATGCCAAGATCTGGAACCTCAGTCCACTTGTCAAGTGTGTTTTCTACTTTTGTTTTCAAAGCAGGTTAATTAGATCATTCAACTATGCAGCACCATTGCTAGTTGCTTTTGAGCTGCTTCTAGAAGGTGACAGGAACCTTTCATAGTACAGCTTGTTGTTATCTAGAAGGTGAGCTGCTTCTCTATGTTTATCTAGAAGGTGACAGGAACCTTTCAACTGTGCAACGGGTTCCATTTCATTCCATTGTCGCAAAACCATTGCCAGGCTAATTGTTTTCACTTACTGGCTCAATTGTTTGTTTTTCAGGTCATGTGGAACCTTTCATAGTACAGCTTGTGTTTCTTCCCCTCTTCGCTTTAGAAATCATTACAAATTCACAGATTCACATTGACAGATTCATCACAAATTCACATACAAATCCACTTGTTCGTTTTTCAGGTCATGTGGAACCTTTCATAGTACAGCTTGCCTTTGCAAAACATACATGTCGACAGAATATGCTCGGCAGTCCACCAAGGGGTATCCCGCGATGGTAGCCCTGCCTCTCCTTATATACTCTGGAGGGGCAGGGTTACACGTAAAGTATCCTATTTGGTACTATACAATGTCTTGCGGTGCACGCCGAGCAGCGCCGTGCACGCCTTGATCTTGTGGGCCGGGCCACCTCCGATGGTGTGGCCCATGTCTTGGGGGCCATACCCCCACAGTTAGTCCCCGAGCCTGACAGTAGGTGACGCAGTCACATGGTGCCAGGGTCATAAAGTAGAAGACCAGCC